ACGTTTAAGAGCAAAAAAGGCTATTTGAATTCATTTTTAAAAAAAATTTAATATATTAGCCCTAAAATTTCGGGTCGAGTCGGGTTCGGTTCGGGTTGAAGCTCTAACCCGAAAATTTTTAACCCGACCCGTTCGGAGCACTATTCCTGATGTCGGTCAGAGACTTCTGACCTAATTATGGTGACAACAATATTGCATGTACAATGCATAAAATTTTATTATGAATTATATTGATATTAGAGAGATACATAATTAATTATAAGTCCATCGCTATTTATCGCAGTTTGTAAATTGATGTGCCTTTTGGTCAAATTTTAGGTCGCTGCACACCAATGCAATAATTTTAACAATGATTTTTGGTGAGAATATATATGGTTGACAAATTTATGAAAATAATATATTGTTACTGAATATTTTACCAAAAAAAGTACTTTATAATCATTTACAATAGTGTAATCGGGCGATCCACAATTTGATCAAAAGACACATCAATTTGCAAACCGATTACTCTATTATCAACTATATATGTCTAATATTAATTCTATAAACTCCCAATTCTTCTCCAATTTTTCTTAAACATTTTTTTAACAATTCATCAATATTGGAATCTTTTAAACAAATAGCTTCACTTATAACAGGATGTAAATAAAATAAATGTGCATTTTGGCCTGATAAGATGTGTTTTTTCAAAGGACCTTAAAAAAAAGTAAAAATATTTATTATCATTTGTCATAGAAAATTTTCATGAAATAATGCTGCTAAATATTTAAAATATTAAAGCTTACTAGTTGTTGAATTTTCATTAAAATGTAATATATTTTGTCGAAATCGTAATTCTAACAGCTTTCGCAACACAAATGATATTTCATCATTCCTTACTCTAAGAAATTATTAAATTATTTTAGATTTTTAAAGAATAAAATATTAATATTTTTCAATATATAAACATACCTTAAAAAAGGAAACCCTCCAAACAGTGGTTGGTCAACAGTATAATTACGAATTACAAAGGCACATCGTTTTAGTAAGATAGGAGCCGTTACTTTAGCTATTCTTTGTCTTATATCAAAATAATCTAAAAAACACTAATATTAATCAAATATTGCTTTCACATATAAAAACAATAAATTAATAATTACCATCTTTTTCATCAGAACATAGTTCAAATAAACATTGTAAACAAGCATAGGCAAATCTTTCTCGTTCTACTGGTGTAATAGAAACTGGTGTTCCATTAATATTTTTTAACATTCGGTTACAACATGGCATTTCCAAGTCATCAGATGATTGAGAATTTTCATCTATATTTTCATTCCAAATTGTCAGTTTATCAGTTTCTGGATAATATAATTTTGACCCTTCATATATTATTTTCACCACATTATGTATGAGAGATTGGGGAACACGTGAATGTCCCAGGTGAATTAACACGCGTGTTTGTAATTCTGAAAGAAATTTTATATCAAAGGATTCGTCTATGTTTAGCTGCTCAATTTGAATAGATGATGGTGGTTTACTAAAAAAACAGAGTTAATAGTTTGTTATTTGTTAATATATATATATATATTAAACCCCAGACGATATTGTCTAGGATGTCATGTGATACAATCATTAATATAAATTAAAAATACCTTTTATGTGCCAAAGTATTATGAAGAGCATCTAATATCTGCTCCCATATGCTTACGATACATTCTTCAGAAATGGCTTTAAAAAAGATCAATGATAGCGTATTAATATATCATTAGGTTATATACGTATAGTTATGAAATTTTACACTTATTACCATCACCAATACGATCCAAAGCACATAAACCATGATTCACTACATCTAAAAATGCAGTTGATGCTACTTTCCAAAGTTCAGCATTATCATCATATTTTCCTGATAGAGGACAATCATATTTCAATTTCATAGGAACACCATATGCCTATATAAAAAGCAAGAATAAATAAATAAATGAATAAAACTGAAACCAAAATTATTACATTATAATAATTTCGAATTATATATACAGTCATAAAAAAAACATACTTTCATAATCTTTTTAAATATTCCTTCCAAATAAACTATTTGATCATTAACATAAGTTTTAAATAAATCTTTAGCCAATTGCATAACAGTTTTTGAAAATGCAATATAAGTAACTGTTGAATATGATTTTTTAGATTTTGATATGCCAATAATCTCTCCATTTAAAAATTTATTACTTGAGTTTGCTTCTTTTGTCAAGATTTGTTGTTCAACTGAACCATATATTCCTTTTGGCTTTTCGTCCATTTGTTTTTTTGTAAATGCGAGAATAATATAATCTGCAAAATTTTCTAAAACTACTGCAGGTACACTTGAAATATTCAAATCAAATTGTCCAATAATTTCTAATATAGATTCTTGTAAAGGTGAGAGACAATCAGAATCGGACATATAAAATGGACTATTAGAATAAGTTAATATTCCATAAGAAATTTTGAAAATTTTTTTTAATTCATGTATAGTAAATTCTGAATGAATTATTTTGTAAATATCACCAAAAATCAAAAAATATATTCTAAGAGCATCTTGTGTAAAATGTATTGTCGTTGAACTTTTCATATCTAAAATATCATTTTGATCCGAGGTTTTAATAATTCCCAACCCAATTTTCTCCCAATAATTCCAAGCTATTTGCCAAAATGGTAATATCTTTTCACAAAGTTTATTAGATTGAATTTTGTGTTGAAAGGGATATTGTATTACCATGTTAAAGGATTTGAAAGCAGCAATAGAAACTTCCAAACTGGATTGTAAACAAAAATATTCAAATTGAGAAAGTAATGATTCCCATAGTTGTCGAAATCCATCAAATTTTGTTAATATTGGCATGAAATTTTTAAAAAGTTTAGAAATTCCTGTCAAAGCTAAAATCTTGGTCTCATCCCATTGCTTATCAGTTGCATTTCTTGATTGACAAAACAGGAATCCATCAAATTCTTTTCGTGATGTCAAGTTCAAATCTTGATGTTGATCTGGTGTATGTTTTACCGAATCCAAAAGTGGAAATAAAATTTTCTGGATGCAAACATGCAACATTCTTATCTCTAATTCTGGACCATAAACTGCAATTGAACGAATTACTGTTTGAATTGCTAAATTACGTACTTCTGGTCGAATATCTGAACAAATTTTCAAAAGTTGTGATAATAATAACATCCAAAGTATATCCATAATAGATGTAGATTCTCTTATGATAACTTTATCAACATCATTTGTATCAAGTGCAACATTTTTGATCATCTTAATATTGTAATTATGATCAGAACGTTTAGTTTGTACAAACTCAGAGATATTCAACAAAAGTCCGATAGATTTTAAACTTATATATAAATCATCCGTTTGTAGACCAAATGCACCTAATGTGTTAATTAATTCTTTTAAATATTTAGGGGATAGCAATGACAAAAGGTCATTACAAATAAGTTGCAATGAAGGAAAAGCCACAAGAACCAAGTCTGAAATTTTTGTATCAGATATATAAAACATTGATTCATCTAATATGCTAAGATTATCATCACTAACAGCATCATTTTCTATTGTCTCACCAGAACTAGCATATACGCAAACACTTTTAATTATATCTAAAATAACATTCCATCCGAAAGTGAAAGAATACCCAGATCTACCAGAAGTTTCAAGTAATTTATTAAGTGTTTCCAGTCTAATTTTTTGAACTTCAATATAAGCCCCACTACTAGAACGTAAAGAAATCCATTCGGAATTATCAATCATATTATAAAGAGAAATAAGAAGTTGAGATTGAATACGTTCATTATTTTTTATTTGTGATAAAGAAACATAATTAACAGCTGAAATTATAATATCCGCTAGAGCTTCACAAGCTTGTATACGAATATTATGAGGAGTTGAAATATGATTTGTGATTATGATTAAGTGAGATGTAACTAAATCCCAGATGAGAGATGAATCACACGCGATCATTCGATGCATATTTAAAATCGCCGCAGAATGCAACGTTTTAATTGCAAAAGACTTTTTACGACTTTTCTATAGTTTTAAAAATGAAAATTGTTTAATAAATACATTTAATAAGACAATATTGAGTAATATTATTTTGAGTATATATAAAGTTATATTCTTACATTGACGCGCAAAGCTCTTAAAGTAACGGGTTTGTGAATATAATCATCTATTAATATTAGTTCTTGATCAGCTACTTGAAGTTGTTCATTAAGTTGAATTCCACACATTTGAGCATTAAGTTTACACAAGGAACGTATAAAACATTGTAGAGCTATATCGTTAAGAAACTTGCAATTATCAACCAATGTATTGATTTGTATCTTAAGGCTATTTAACTCATCCTTATGTGGTTCTGAATTAGAGATTATAGGTGTCCCTGTTTTAGATACATGCTCTGATGGTTGAGGATATATATCTGGAGTTTCCGAAGGTGTAGCTTCAGAAGGACTCAAACACGTCATTTGTACAATTAACGGTTTTGTTGTTTGGTTGAGTGATGATGAACTGCTACTGCCAGAAGTTATTTGTGAGGGTAAAGAAGTGATAGATTCAGATTTAGTGTGATGCATATTAAGCCTGCGATTCTTTTTCTTATTAGCACGTTTCGAGAAGAACTTATAATGTAATGATTGTACTGTTTCTAATACCAAATACCATGAATCATCTAAAACCCCTCCAGTAGTCTGTGCAATACTTAATAATGATTTCAAGCAAGATAAGCCTCTGACAGATAATTCTTCTGTTTTTGTATTATTTTCACCGTCAGACTCACGCGTATTAATTTCTGATGGTGATATATTAATATGAGGAATTGCACTTTTGCATAAACATGTTATAAAAGCATCACGAGGAGTTGAAAGATGAAGAAAACCACAAACAATGGTAAAATTTTGATAAGAACGTAAAACAATATTAAATAGTTCATCATCAAGGTTTGAAGAGAGGAAAAATGATAACGCAGCAAGTAATCCAGGCCATGAAGTATTTGCCATATCTGCCACAAGAATTTGTGATTTAGATTGTAAGGATGTTCTCTTTTGATCTTGAATAACACTAGTAAGATTTTTTATTACAAAATCGTGAAGACCATCCACAATAGAATTTAGGCATAAAAGAGTCAGATAATAGAGGTAAGTTTCTGGAATTTGTGGTGGATCTGACTTGTCCATCTGGTCAATGCTTTGTATTCAAATAAGGAAACCCATGAGTTACTAGGGCAATTAGATGACTTTTAAATTAAATAGTAAGTATATAAATATAAGTAAAAAACTTTTTTTAATAGTACATACCATTTAATTTTCATTATCGAGCACGCAATATTAAGACTACCAATGTCTTTTTGTCCATCATCTTCTATGAATTGATACGAATGCCCATTTAAAAAATTACTATTTTTACCAAATGCATATGGTCTCTCAGTTGCTAATCGACCAAAAGCATTAATCATTTCTTTATACACATTTGTAGAATGGTTTTGTTTATCAAAATAAAAATAAATAGTGCGTAAAAGAGCACCATCCGTACAAATTCCATGAAATACTTCCATTGAAATAACTCGTTGCCATAATGGATAGTTTGGTTCAAGAAATTTTACAAGCATATTGAGATAAATTTCACATTCTAAGACCTAATAATGACATATATCGAATAAAATTCTTTGATTAATAAACTTTTAATTTTTGATGACGAAAGTCATTAATTACGTAAAAATGAAATTACCAAAATATCGCTAAATTTATTTAATAGAATATAAACAATTCGCAACATTCTCATAGTAGTTGAAAAGTCATATTTGACAGTTAAATTTTTTAACATAAGAGGACAAACATGTTCTCTGAGTAAAAACGTAAATTCCGGATACTATATAAAAGAAATAAAAGTTGAGTATGTATAATGATGAATGAACATGGATTAACACAAAAATATTAATATGTAACGAACCAATTCAAATAGTTTAAAATGATTAGACAATACTGATTCTATTAATTCCCAACAAAGTGTTTTTGATAAACTATTTAACTTGAGAAGCATAGGCTGTTCTCCATTGGATAATAAACATAAATCTTGAAAAATATAATAAGCATCTCTCGCATATCGACGAAGAGACAAAACATTTACATCTAGACTTAATTTTGCGTCCAACTTTGGATATATTGTACCTTTAAATGATTGAAAAGTTAATAAATAGTCGATCGTATAATACACTATAATGTCATACATAAAAATAAATGATAATAACCTTTTTCATTTGTTTCGTCATCTAAAAGAACTTTATCAAAAATATTGATTACCAATTGACGCAACGTAGCAGCAGCAGTGTTACTGACTACAATAACTTTAGAATCTTGAAGACGAAAACATATTAATAAAGCCTGAACATATTAATAATGCGTATTAATATTCTTGTCATTAATTTAAAATAATGGTCTATGATAACGGATACTAATATAAAAAGATGTCAATATTTTATTATACCTCTATAAGTAGATCACCTTGCAATGATTGATAATTATTTAGCAAAGGTGGGATAGTTTGCAAGATTTTGAGTTGAATTTCAACGCCTTGTGATACTAAGTCACTGAGAATCTTTACGATAGCTTTAATGGAAGACTAATAAACATAACCCTATTAATTATGTTTGTCAAAATGCGATACTAATAATGGATGGACCCTACCTCAGGAACAGCATGATATGATACCAATTTATGTAAGCAACCTATGGATATAGTTATCAATTTCAGATTTTTTGCTTCACAAGCAAGAGTAAATGGAAGTAAAAAATCGGTGTGTTTTGAAAGTTCTATTAATTATATTTAACGGTAGGGTTTTAAAAAACGTGATAGAACTTGAAAAATTCAAAATCCATTATAATTTATATTTTCACCTTTGGACACATTAATATCAGGTTGCTCTATTAGGGATCTTACAACGATAATCGACTTTTCTGTGGCCTTTAAATTAATCCAACCATATTAATTTTGATCTAAATTCAGTTTTTAAATAATGAACCACTATTTTATTTTACCTCTTTGATTTCATGATGCCTACGCTTAGTTTCATCCACGATTTGTAAAAGTTCTGTATGAAGAAATATTGAAAGTCCGTTCATTTTTCCTCAATAATTTGTTATACAATAATACATTATATATCACAAAAAAAGAATCTTTTTTTGTTATCTCGAATAAGCTCAGATTTCATGAAAGGAAAGATTTCCTTATTTCTAGTGGCTGTGACAATAAAGACGTGTTCAAAATCATTTTGCAAAAATACACAGCCAATGTCTAAGCCACAGATTTGAAAAATTCGCCAAATGATGACGTAACGATAAGGACGAATTATGGAGAATATTTGGTGAAATTGGACTTTTATTCACATTGGATTTAAGTTACTATTCAAAATAGAATACGAAAGACTAAAGTTATAGTAATATACAGATATAGAAGTTCAAAGGCTGTTATATACAGTAGGAAGCTCTTGATATATAGCGAAGATTATTACCGTTACGAGGCAAATTTACGCATTTAGTGTTTTTCAAATCAGATGATCATCAATCACGAGAAATCTCTTTAGATTCATTATTTTTACAAATTTCTACTTAAAATAATAAAATTCCTAAGATTCCTCATCACATTTCGAGTTCTCATACATACATCCACTAGAATATAATAAAGTTGGTTAATAAGCAGTAGCGTACAAATCATAGTCAGTATGATATTTTTCAATTTTCACCTCTTGAAGACGTGGGACTAAATGTTAAATAATTTTTTAACACTATTTATGGTCAGTGTTAAACAATCATTCTAACAGCACTTATTTAAAGTTTGGATTAGGATGGTTGTTAATAACCTAAAATTTTCACGAGTGATTTTTTCTGATAGAACACAAAAGACAATTATTAATGTAATGTCTTGCTATTTATAATATGAGAATCGAAGAAAAGTCCATATTAGATAATAAAGATTAGCTTAAAGGTTGCTATTTTCATAATTTTATGAATTATAAATTAAGCATATCTGTTATGTCTGTTAGTATACGTACAAATGTGTAAACTTATAAAATATATACTTAAAATTAACTCATTCTATTATTTATATATAATTTACTGCACTATGATTTTTATTTTTAAATGAAAAAATTCAAACCTAATACAGTACATAAGTCGCAAGCCCGCCGTTAAATTACTAGTGTAACGTGATGTTATATGTATATAGCAGTTTGTAAAAATAAATATCATTTCTGTTCGGAGTATTTTGAGCATTATCATTGATTTGATAAGTTATAAAAATAATTAAAAAAATTTGCTACTTACAAATTATAGAAGGCAATACTTTACGTAATGGTAAAGTATAACGGTCAAGAATAATGTCAAGAGTAACAATTTACAGTAATTAAAGGATCTGCAAGTTGCTGCACATGAAAAAAGATTATAAGCTAACATTTGAATCTTACAATTTAATTGGTATCCTTTTTATAACAAAAAAATTTTGTTATTTTTATACTATCCGTCTGCGCTAATTTTTGCAATTGTACTAAAACAGATATAATTTGACACCTTTTAAAATCCTAAATAGCTTTTGATC